TGGCTTTAGAGTTGATTTGGGAAGCTAAATTTAATAATAATATTTAAAAGGGTTCAAATTTATTGTGAACACAATCTCTCATATTTAACTCAATATATCAACTTCCTAAAACACTGGATGTCACTTTTCTCCTAGTTCATAATGAAGGGTTTGCTGCTTTATTTTGATATCAGAACTGATAAAACCACATCCTCAGATTCTGAGTAAAGCTCCAATCTTGTGTAAAATGAGTAGCTCTTTTTGAGATTCTCTGTGCAGTGTTTTGAGCCATGTCTGTCCAATGCAGTCCTTCAAAGTCAGTCTCAGGTGTTCCTGAATGATTGTCATAAGTGTTTAATTAATTGTTTTGCTAAATGGGATCTGGCATTAAGGCTGAAACTACACCAAAGCAGGCCAGTTGTCTGAGTGGATTAGAATTCAGTCCATATGGACGTAGTCAGGGTGAAGATGTTGTTGAGCAGCTGCTGAGCTTTTTGCATACCTGAATGATGTGACCGGCCTTATTGGAGAGTATGCGGCCAATGAATTCATCTTCTTCTCTCTGCAATCCCACACTCCGGAGGTCAAGAACGTTCAAATTATCCCTCTGCGCTGCTGTGTTTGACTGCTTTACATGAGTCACCACAGCAACCAGTAAATGAAATCACTGAAGGATGCTTGCTTCAATTCACAGGAGCTGTCTGCCCGTCTGGCATCCAGCCTCCTCTTTTTAAAGCCGTGTTCCTGCACACTGGGCTTCCTGATGAAACCGCTGATTAGATTTCCATTCAAAACCTCCAACTTGCACAAAACACTGTGACAAAGGAAGCACATGTTTGCCACAGCATTGTCAGTGCATGCGCAAGGAGGGTATCAGCTCCCTGCTAGATTTTGCTCGGCTAACTCAAAAATGCAGTGAACTCAGTGTTGCTGTTGTTGCGTAATCAAACAGCACGTGAAGTGTGTTAACAGACCACTAGCACAGTCCCACTGTCGGTCACTCTGATTGTTCTTTAACCCACTCTGTGTGCTCACAGTCAGCACTTTGTTACCTACGTGTGTCCTACTGGCTGCACCTGAGCTGTGAGATTAGCCACACTGATCATGTTGAGCTATTATCCAGGTTAAGGTATTACAACATGACAACATGACAGGCGACTGACGGCAAAGGAAAAGGAAAACAAAGTGATGCAAGGGCAAAAAAGAAAAAGTGAAGGAAATATGTAGTGAATTCTGAACAGTCTCCTCCTCTCTGGCACACTGAGCTGTTTTCCAGAGAATTATGTAGCAATGAAGTGACTCAGTGTGACTGTAAATGCACTTTTCAGGAGGTTTGTATGTCATTTAACCTTCAAGTCATCCAGTTGTATATTTTTACATGTCCTGTTATGAATTTATGAAGTGGAGAAATGTTTCTTACCATAAATTTGTCATTTTACAAACAGCAGGACGTGTGTGTATCTGTATATCTATATATCTATTTCTATACATATCTATCCATCCATCCATCCGCCCGCCCGCCCACGTGTGTGTATATAGATATATATACATATACACATACACACACATGTCCTGCTGTTTGTAAAATGACAAATTTATGGTAAGAAACATTTCTCCACTTCATAAATTTTATACACACACACACACACTAATGCAGTTTATCTTTCAAGCTCAGGTCCTCCAGCAGAGAGAGGCCTGGGAGCTTGTGCAGTATCGTTGCTCTTCCTAGGACTGTGCTGTTCCTAGTGAGTGGGGGTACCACAATCCAGGATGAGACAACAAACATCCACGAGTACATCAGAAAGATGGCGGCGTGCTCAGTGAATACCTCGGGCAGCAGAAACCCAAGAAAGGGAGCAAGAGAAGAAACCATCATGGAAGGACAAGCCCCTGCATGAGACTCTTGTTCTTGGGATATATATATTTTTGTGACTAAAATATATTCATGTATGATGTATTACTATATATAAAGCCTATAGACCAAGCTTTCAGCAGTATTCAAGTCATTAAAATAATCTCTAGCTGTACTATAAAAATATACACAATAATGATATGCACATTATGATACTGTATGCATACTATTCCTATTTAAAAAAAACTCAACAATAAATCAAATAAATAAAAAACAATATTTAAACTGTGGTACAGCCACTTATCATGCAATACATTTCTATGAGGGGGACTGCAAATGAGCCGGAAAATTATACCAAATGAAATGTTTTTTACACCCATTCTCTGTATTTATTTATAATCAGATGTTCTAACTTCTGGTTCTACGTGACCCCCAAAAAATGTTTCCTCTTCTTGGATATCTTGGAAATGTCCCTGGGTGTGGGAAATTGGAGAATCAAAGCATTCAGTATTTGTCATGGTTGAAGAACAACTAGAAACGGACTCCAGGGTGTATCTTATTTAGGGTAATAAATTGTTTGTGGCACTGACAGCAGGAACACTCAAACAGCAGTACAATGAAAATCACACAGCAAACTTGTTGCAAAGATTTCTATGCAGAACAAAACTGCAAAATGTTTTACAACGTAAAAAACACCACTTTATTTTAGAGCTGAAAGTACAGCATTGTAATTTAACAACGATTATTTTACAGCACACTTAAAGAAAAAAAAAGTACTCTACTGGATCATTGACAGCAATGACCAAAATTAAATGGACGTCTTGTCATGGATTTGTTATTATTCCTACGATCATGCTTGCGAAACACTTCCAGTAATCTTGGGGATTCTGATGTTATGATGACTGCAATATAATCCATAACGTGCCCTATATCTAACATCTTGTTGCGCAAAATAATGTGGTTGGGAAAAAGGAGTCAAAAGTAGCTTTAAAGTACTCATAATGTGCTACACAACAGAAAAAGTGAAAATCAAAAAAACAACCCAACATCAAAGGACTGTGATCCTGCAAACGGAAAACGCTGTGTGACTGATGTCTATGATGCATGATTAGATGATCATTTCCTACTATAGGCCATGTTAGGTGGTTTCATAAAATGGGTTTTGTTGTTAAGTTATAATAACTATCTACGTTAGCGCTTATTAATATATTCTGTATGTATCCCCCCGAACCTGAATTGACTGCCCTTTGTTTACAATCTCCTCATTCGGATTTATGCGGCGGTACCTGAAGGCAGCATTAGGCATCAACTCTCCTGCGTCACGAGCACCTGAAGCGCGTCTGCCGCGGCCAGGTAAGCCTCTTGCGCACGGACGTTCAGTGGACATTCAGCGGACGTCAGGCTGAATGAGATGTTCTGTATAACAAATTCCTTCTGATGTGTGATGGATAGATAAGATGATCTCAGTGCGCACATTGAACATACACCCTCTTGTGTCACCTGACCCCTGACCTTGGGCTCCTTGAAGCTGCAGTTTTTCGGAAGTCGGAGAGTTTGCGATTTAACTCCAAGAAACTGAAGACAAACTGGAGCAGCAGCGTCTGGCTGACTGACTGTTGCGTGTCCCATGATCCTCAAAGATCAAACTTGGACCCATATAAAGGTTGTCACAGTGCCACATCGTGCTTCTCCCAAATTGACGCCCATGGGTGCGTCTCAAATGATATTACGGCATTAATTATGGGATGGCAGATTAGATTACCCACCCTTTAGCTATTTAGCAGAAAACGCGTCGCTTAGCAACACCGCTGCGTTCAAAAGATTAACCATTAATTAGTATCATTCAGATACAGAATTACTCAACATCTTCGGGAAACTAAAACGCACGACAGGCAGGGCGTCACAGATCAGTGCGCAGGTCAAAAGGTAACGGGGCGAAAATGAATGACACCCAGTAACTCTGGAAAGGGTGACATATAGGAGAGCTGCAGTACCTGTATGTGTAACTGACGTCTTCACGTTATGAGCAAGCGAACAAAGTGAGGCAACGGGCGGCTGACTGGTCACCCCAGAAACCCCCCGCAGATTATTTTTCCCTCAGCGCAACTTCCCCCGGTTCAAACTTTCTGATGGGAGCGAGGCTTTCTGGCAAAGACGCGCGCGGCACCAGCAGTTATGGTGATGCAGATTAAAATAGGAACCGTGGCAGATGGGATTAGACTTAATGCGCCATTTTATATCGTGTAACGTGTCACATTCTGGGCGCTGCGCCCTTGTTTATGAGGTGCGTCCGAATTACAATTAGCCCACATTTCACCGAGATTCCTTTGAAGCCGCCGTGCTGCACTAACCGGCGGGCCGCATTAATCTGACCGTCCGTGTTGTGTGCCACCTCTCTCCAAATTAGGCACAATGCGGCGGCGCCAAAGCGCACAAAGGTTTAATTGTGCAGAAACGCCGCGTGTCCAATCGCCGAGTGTGTATATGAGCAGCAAATGAAAGCTGGTGGACATGAAATAGTTACACCCACCATGACACCCCCCTCCTCTCTGTCTTTATTTGATTTATCGAATTTTCAGGCTGTGCACAGCTACAGATATGGATTTCATTTTGAAGCTGAGAAACTTTTAATAAATGCTTTTACTGCGCAGCACTCGCTCCCGGTGTGTGCGGGTGCACGCGTATCCGTGCAGAGTCGCTTTAGTTCTAAGTTTCTAAGCTTTAATGTGTTGGTTTTTCATCACTGCCGGGTGGCCGAACCTGGACCGGCGAGCTGTGAGCTCCGAGTCCGGACCACAGCGCGCGAGGGGAGGGAATCCCTCCAGTGTCTGACGCTTCCTTTACCAAGGAAACCCACACGCGCTCGCTGACGCAACTGCCCATTTTAGGAAACATGCGTCAATGGGCCCAAGCAAGTCAGACAAATAGTGAACTCCGCGGCAGCACTGACGTCCGTAACAAAAAATAAACCCCTCCACACATGTTCTGGACCACTTTTACCGAATCCCAGCTTTTCGGTTTTCTCCCTGCTGTCCGCAGAGCGCAGGATGGTGCTAACGGATCTTTTCTTTTTCACTGCCTTTTGCAGAGACAACCCCTCCCTGCTGAAGTCGCAACGCCCCATGCGTGACGTAGGCTCTTTCGTTGGTGTTGAAAAGCCGTTGCAGTTCTTCATAGTGCCATTGAAGTGAGTCATCTCTAGGAAGTGTGGTAAAAAGGAAAAGAAAAAAAAAGTTCGAAGTGTTCCGTGAGCAGCAAAGAGAGCTCAGAGGAGTGTAGCTGGCAAGGCGACGGAAAATATTGAGAAGAGTAGAGAGGCAATAGGCTTTAAAGCGAATGTTAACCTGTGTGAGTCACTCTAACTACATGTTTGATTGTCGCTGCTGGATCTGACTGCTGAAGGTGTGCTGCTGACTTTAAGCTGAAGTTTGCGCACCTGAGAGGATCTTTTGCAGCGTAGTGTAGGTCTACCTGCGGCTCCAGGAAAAAAACAACAAGAAATAGACTCTACAAGCAGGGATAATACACAAGAAAAAAACGATTTGTATTATCAGTAAAATGTTTTAGGTCAGTTTACAGGAGCAAAATTGCACTTTTGTTTTTTTTCTCCTGCTTTGGAAATTAACGACTTCTCGAATCAGAGGATTTTTTTTTTCCTGTTGGTGCCTTTTTTGCATCGGGGATTTAAAAAAAGGCTCTCAGAGCTCAAACAGTGCACTGAAATCTTCCTCTTTCCTGGATCATGTACCAGGACTACTCCGGGAACTACGACACCTCGTCCCGCGGCAGCAGCACCTCTCCGGCCCAGCCAGAGTCCTTCACAAGCGGCAGCAGCACGATCGGAAGTCCGATCTCTACCTCAAGCTACCAGGTAACAGAAGGAAAGGACTGGCTGCAGATTAATCTATTAATGAATGCATTCTGGATAACATGAAAGTGTCAGTTCGTTCTTGTGCAAAGTCCGATTTTTAGAAAATTATTCCATCGTGTTGCTACTTCCAGCCATTAACTGAATTTAAACAGGAATTTTCCGGGTCGCCTGGAGACACAAATCCGAATGAACCCAGTGACACGGTTCGAATCAGTGACTCAACAGGGACAGTAGTCAATCTGTGCATAGGTGCAGTCTAATAATATTACAATGATTTTGCTTTTTTAATATTTAGACACTGATTATTTTGTCTAATGTTACATTTCTCCATTAGTGCGCACCGCAGCTGGCGACAATGCGCGAGTTTGCGTAAATTTATGGTACAATTGTCTTATGCCAACAATTTACAAAAAAAAAAAAGACACATACGTGGTTTGTGCCCTGTTGCAGGAAAATCTGGCACACTGGAATAAATCCGAGTCTGTGATTTACAGATGTTAATTTCGCCTTTCTTTCTGCCAAATTCCCTGTGCGTTTGTAAAACGAACATTTCTGGGTTCTTTGCGAATTGTCTCACAGAGACGAATGCGTGTAAAGCAAATGCACACCTGAGCTTTTTACACTTTTCATGCTGTGGTAATGATAAACTAGCTAGAGATGAAGCTCATAGTGGATGCAACAGGCATTTCGTGTTGGGCTGTGAGGTGTTTCAATATTCCATATGTATTGCTGCAGAATTGATCTAAGTTCCGTTTAAGTGACCACATGTTATTATTCCACATGGAATCAGTCTAATTCGATCAGGCGGGTCTCGGGCTGCACATGGCACGTTTTCTCCAGCTGGAAACGCGCTCTGACTGGGAGCGCAGGGCAATCAAAAGCCCGTTCTTCCTCGCTGTGTTCACGGTAGTAATTGTAGAGATGCATCTAAAACACCAAAATCTCATAAGGGTACGTTTTTACATAGTCTGAGTGAGACTTTAGATACAGTGGAGGTGTGACAGTGTAATGCCGTGAAGACGCGGTATCTCAAAAATATGAGGATATAAATCCGGGAACAGGCATGTTGTTTACCCCCACACCCTCTGCCGTGCAATTCTGTGGAAAAGCCTCCTCGGGCTCACGCAACATTACGGTAAAAGACTTTTGGACAGCGTGTATCATTGCTCTGGTTCCCTGTAATCACACGCTGGCTGCCTGTTTCCCATTACAGGGTTGGAACATGAACTCTTCGCTAGTTTATGGAGACATATGTAAACGACCCCCTCCCCCCGCGTGTTTTTGTAAGACCAGTATCATTTTAATCGGACTTGTTTGGCTCTAATGTCATGATTCCACTGAATGTCCTTTGTAGGCAGTTATTCATTTCCTGGTTTATATGTATTGTAAATTCCAGTGCTCTTATTCTGAAGCTAATCTGGCCCAAAAATTCCACTCGCACAATTCTGGATAATATGCCTGGCTTGTTACAGCTGTCTGCTTCCCCCCTTACTGGAACTGACCGCGTTTCACATGTGCTCGACAAATGCAATACACAATGACTCACCAGATAAACAAAGTTGCAAGAGACTGCCGGGATATCCGACGGAAAGTCGGGAATAACGGGGATGTGGGGACGTGCGTAATTTACGCACACGGGCTGGCAGTCCTCCTTTTTGATACCAGAAACAATGATCTAACATCACTTCTCGTGTTGACAATGTTTGTACAAGACCTTGATGCACAAATGTATATAGGAACGATATGTAAAATGTTTGTCTGTATGACAGTCTGAACAAAAATCTACCATTCTGGAACACATTATATCTTGAGAGATGTTCTCACAAAGCAGTGACTGCATGTTTTGTTTTGTTTTTTTGTTTTTTTCCCACTATTCCCCCCTGATTGCATGTTTCTTTAAAAAAAAATCTTCTGTGAAATAAATTTAATAAAGTTTATTCCATTAAAAATATAATTTTACATTTCCCATCTGCCCCGTCAAATCAAAAGTGAACTTAAGAAGACGTGAAATGGCTCTCTAGTGCACTGTTATGTCTCATTGTAGTAAACATGAGATGCAGTGGACACCTTGGGCTTTCCCACATGAATCACTGCATGTGTCACTGTTTCACTCCAGGGGTTACATACAGTGTTTCGCCTATGTGGACTGAATCACCACTATAAGCTTGAAATGTGGAAAAATGTGTGACTCTGATGGCGGTGGGTGGTGGTGCGTGCATCTCTGTGATGGTACTCTAAGCACAGCAGAGATGCTTCTGGAATAGATCAGAAGCAGCACATTAGGAAATAAATCTATCCTCTTCTGGAGACTTTTATCTTCATCATGCATCCTTTTTCACCATCTTTTCCCTTCTCTTTCCAGAAGTACAGGGTTGACATGCCCGGCTCCAACAGTGCCTTTATTCCCACAATCAATGCAATCACGACAAGCCAAGACCTGCAGTGGATGGTGCAGCCCACTGTCATCACCTCTATGTCCAACCCTTACTCCCGCTCCCACCCATATGGCCATCACCTGACCAATGGTCCCAGTCTGCTTGCGCACAACCCACTGGCTCGGCCTGGGGTCATCCGCTCTATCGGGGACACCAGGAGAGGACGCAAGAGGGATGAACAGGTAACGAGCCAAAGCTAACCACTGTAAAAAACAAACAAACAAAAAAAAATCTCTTTGATTGCTTTTCTGCTCACACAGAGCTCCTATTTATGCTCTTCGCTTCGTATTGATTGTGTGTGTGTCTGTCAAATACCTCATTCTACCTTTCATGCTCTTTCTTTTCTCGCCCTTAGCTGACCCCAGAGGAAGAGGAGAAGAGGAGGGTGAGGCGTGAGAGGAATAAGTTAGCAGCGGCAAAGTGCCGTAACCGTCGGCGGGAGCTCACCGAGATGCTGCAAGGGGTGAGTAGAAGACCTGCGCCAGGAGATCACCATCAAAATGTTCTTGTTTTTGTCTTCATAGAAAAATACCACAAATCTAAGTGCTGCAGCATCTTGTGGTGAGAACCATTAGCCAGTAAAGCCCCGTGCTTCCTGTTTTGTTTTGTTTTTTCTGCAAACTTTTTCATCTTTAATATTTTGTAGAAAAACAAAAAGGAAACAGAAACATATTTGCATACACAGAGAACACGGTGCACTTGTTTAGAGGCCTGGCAGGACTCCAGATTCTTGATGAGTGATTGAAGTCCACACCTAAATTTACAACCTCACATTACTGGTTTGCCTCTTGCTGCGTCTCTGAGTGCAAGGTCTGAGTGAAGAGATGACAGGCAATGAAAAGCTTTTTGTCTCGGCCAGCTGTAGACAGAGGTAGGGCTGTCTCACAGTGCTGCCTGGCAGACAGTAACGGCATCTAAATGGACTAATTACCCAAATTACAGTGAGGTTGAGCTTGTCAGGCCTTAAAAAAAAGAACCCAGGAATGGAATTTGCTGCAGGCAGCTGTCTCCATGAATGCAGGACATTTTGTAAAAGGGGCAAATTGCTTGTCTCACAATTCCACATAGGGGTATACAGCATGCGCGCCCGCACACACACACACAGTCATACAGTCACAGCCAATGCTTCAAGGAAAAACAAAAATTAAACTGCATTATTCATACACCTGCTTTAAAAAATAGAAACCTAGGAGTGTTGCTTTTCAGTGACATTAAGTTGGAGTGTTCGAACTCTCTGAATAACTGATACTATCTCTTTAAGAGTCTCGCTGTGCGCCTCCTCTCTTGGCTCTTCGCGTACCACTTCCTCATACCTTTGCCCATGAGTCAAAGTTCTCAGACAGCATGTCAGCTTATCTTTATGTCTCATGTCTCACAGCCGATGAAAGCCTTTATGGTGTGGATTTGTGTCTTTTGTGTCTCACGTTAATGACACACTGTTTGATGCGGATCTCATTTCTCTGAGACACAAACAAGGCACAGTCATTATGTGGCGCTCAAATTCAAGCAGAAGGCTTCGAGATTACATGTTGTTAGTCCAAATGGTTCATGACAAATTTCTGGGTTTAATAAAATTGTGGCGCTTGGGAAAACTGAAGCAAACAGACAGTGCCCTCTTTTGGCTTCTCAGAGAACCACACGTACAGTCTGGAAACTTCATATTACATACTTCACAAGTGCTGAAGATGATTTTTATCACCTCATGTTCATTAGTAAGATGTTGCATCATGTTTTTATTAAGTTTAAACAAATCGTCTACCACTCTTTGGTGGCCTGGTGATAACAGGGATGAAGTTCCTATGTATTTATTGTCTCTGTATTTCCACTGTCCAATTAAGGCAAAATGCAAGTGGTAGTTCTAAACTTTACTTCATATTCAACAGGAAACCGAGAAGCTGGAGGAGGAAAAGGCAGACCTGCAGAAAGAGATCGAGACCCTGCAGAAGGAGAAAGACAAGCTGGAGTTCATGCTTGTTGCCCACAATCCCGTGTGCAAGCTGCCCATCGACGAGCGCCACCAGCCATCCGGGCAGCAGTGTAATCCGCTCCCACTCACCATGCGCACCAACATGGGCACACGGGCTCAGATGAATCAAGTGGTGGTGAAGCAGGAGCCCGAGGACAGGGACGAAAATATGGGCAAGCTTCAGCGCTCAATCATCAAGCCCATTTGTCTGGGAAGCAGCAGCATCGGTGGCGGGATGTACAGCCCAGATGGAGACAGCCTGAACACTCCAGTGGTGGCAGCATCTACTCCGGCTGCCACACCAAATGCTCCAAACCTCATATTCACCTACCCCAACATGGTAGAGCCCGAAAGCCCCTCGCCCTCTTCTGAATCCTGCTCCAAGGCCCACCGGCGCAGCAGCAGCAGCGGCGACCAGTCCTCAGACTCCCTCAACTCACCGACCCTCCTGGCCCTCTGAGCGAGGGCTCGTCTCGGCGCGGCTGAGAAACAAACACTGTGGCTGAAAGCAAACACAAGGATCGACTGCGCGCCCTCGTCCCCACCCTCCCTCCGGTGTCTTTAAAGACGCAAGAGCACACTGAAAAGTCCAGACCAAGCTGACCATGTGAGCCGTTTCCCCCCTTTAGAGGGAGACCCACAAGGGCTACGCTGCGTGTTTCTTCTCGTTCTGCTTCAGTGTAAAAAAAAATTTTTTTTATTCGTCAAAGTGTGTGCACCGACTCTGAAAAGCATCATCCCTTCACCATTTCAACTCCAGAGTGTCAACGTTTACTGGGCAGACAATTCTGAAGAAAGACATGCCTGCATTTGGCAGCCGTTGGTTGATGTGATTACAGCAAGAGAGCGCGTTCTTAATATATATATTTTTGAAAATGTTCAAAAAGCCATGTGTCCGACACTTGCACTCTGCCAAGACGAATCAATAAATAAATCACTAAACGAGGTCAGCTTTCTACTGGAAGGGGAGAAAGAGACAATGAGCAAAGACTTCCTCTCATCTCTTTTCCCACTTCGATTTGTCCTTTCAGAACTCGATTCAGGAAAAGAGTGTGTGCACATTCCTGATGTTCTTTCCATCTCTTTAATTGTATTTATGGCCTGTGCTGATTAAATTTTACAGTGTTTTGTTAAGACATTGTCCTCTCCTTTAATCTGCCTGTAGAAAAGCAAAGCGGTCGTCCGCAGGGTGACCCGAGCACTCCTCAGTGTTGCAAAGGATACGAGCCAACTCTCAATCAACGACTAGTTCCTACTCTCTACTTTCTATTTTGCCATAGTGGCTTGACTTTACAGTAGTATTGGTGTGCTTTTCCTCAGTGATTCTGTACCTGAACTTTACAACCTGTTTTTGACAAAGTGTATGTGATTTACATTGATGTCAGGGATATCTCTCATGTGTAGTAGAACCCAGTTGTGAAGAGCGTTGCAGGACTGCTGGCTGCTGATTGGTCTAGCCAAAGTGTTGCAGAGGTGGTACTTTACTAAACTCCGTCGCTTCAAGAGAGGTTCGTCTTTTCGGTCGAAGAGTTTGAACGAAACCCTCCTCGGCTTCTTTGTGCCGTTCATCCTCTAAACAAAGCGCTTACCTTTTTCCAACTCTGGTCAGGTTTCAGAAAAGCCGGGGGGGAAAAAAAAAGATTTTTATGACACGTGTAATCCTGTAATTCGTCCGTCTTTGTCTGAAAAGGAGGGATTTTGCTTAAATTTGAAAAAGCCACTGTGGTCTAGACTGTCGCCAGCTGCCAATGATGTCAACCCTGTTTATACTGTGTTTGTAAATCTGTCACTTTTAGTAAAGAAATGATGTTTAAATTCAACTCAGATGTGGTGATTTATGGGTGCATGAATACAACATCGAGGTACTCGGTTAGAAACGTAGTGGCTTAAAACGAGGGCCAGATGTGGTTCACTTTACGAGAATAAGGAAGGGATACGAAGACTCTCTCAACAGCTGGCCTGACATGAAAGAGTGGACACCTATGACACTTCTTTGTCTTTATTTTTATGTGTGTAACTTAAAGGGTTGAGGGTTTAATGCACTGAGAAGGACACAACAGCGATATCCGAGACTTTTTTCTTTTCTTTGTTTCGTTTACTTCAGACATTCCTAATGACTATCAACGTCAGGGGTAAAAGGAAGGTGCCATCGCAAACCTTTTTGCTATGAGAAGAATAAGGGATATGGTTGGGAGAGTTTTGTTGCGCTGGTTGCAGAAAACAGACTTTTCAATTCAATACAAGCTGCTGCTACTTGTTTGGAAAGGCTCGGTAATGGTTGATTTACTGTGGCTGGTTGTTATCCTGCATGAGAAGGTGGAATGATAACCAAAAACATCACCATGTCTGTATGTTGAAATATTCTGGAGCCCCTCGACACACATAGGAAAGCCATTGACTGTAGATCTTCTACTGTACATGTCATCTACTGTCTCTGTCCTCTGTTTTACTATTACTTCTTTTCCAAATGCTTTAACTGTTTAAAATGATTCAAAATTAATAAAAAACAGCAATATGTATAGCAGTGTTTGTTAATTTAAAAGAATGATGATAATAAAAAAAAAATAATTTTCAACTTGAGTTTTTGTCCTTTATTGTTTGGGGTTTTTTAAAAATGCATTTCAGACCATTAATATTACTGCATTAATTATTCTGTTTGAACTAAACCAAAAAAATTTTTTTACATTTATACTTGGATGAACTGTCAAATGAAAAGCAACACAACAAAAGGAATTCAAGAGCATCGTAAATATAAATGGGTATTAAATTTTCGGTGAAGGTGATATGTTCAAAATTGTTCACAGAATATATTTTAAGAATATATTTGAGTCATATATAAAGAAGACAACTTCTCGTGTCATCTCTTCACCAGAGTATGGCATCAGAAAGCGGCCCATTGTGCTAAAAGAACATATTATCTACTAGTGCAAAAGATCTCAAAGTCTGGTGACTGAGTGGTACGTTGGGGAGTGAACATAAGGTTGAGAGATCCAAATGAAAAATACATCCATCAAATGAAATTATTGCACATTCAGCTTAAACTAACCTTCCAGTCAGTACAAAAGAAACCCCTGACAGCTTTGCACTAGGGTCAAGTTTGTCATCATCTTAGTTTGGGATACATAAACTGTACAGGTGCAATGCACAGAAACAGACATCTTCTAATTAGTGCTAATAGCCCAATAAAATACCAGAACTTCACTCACCAAAATGACAGCCCAGCCTACTTAGAGGGTGGTTTAGTACACATGGCATTAGAAATGTTCCAAAATGCACTGACAGGTATTTTGCCTATGAGGTGTAGAGAATCATCAGCTGATTCTGTGTTCACTTAATAATTTAAAACATGTGAAAGTGTGCATAATCATCTTAAGATCTGTCAAAGCACAGGATAAACTGACATTCTGCAGGCTTTACCGTAAAGCACACATGCAATATTATTTATTTATTATTACTTTTGTTGTGTTGTGTTATTTTTTGCGTAGTGCCAATTTCATTGTACTGTTGTACTATGTATGACTGTGCAATGACAATAAAGAGTTATCTTATCTTGTATGTATATTTTAAAGCCAACAGTCACTAAATGGGTATAATATAAAATGACTTTGCTATCATGGATAATGATAGCATGATAATGATTTAAAATTCACCTCTTAATTCGTTTGCCTTGAATATCAGGCACACTGCACTTTGAACATCTCTTAAAATATTTGTCCTTTTATGAAAAACTGTGTTTCAAATCCAAACATGAGTATTTGCAGCCCCCAAGTGGTCAAATGTGGGAATTACAACAAAACGTTGACGTTGAAGTGGAAGAAGTTGGGTTTAAAATCTGTAGACCATAAAATATTACAGATGAAATTGGCATCATCATCATCGTCATTCAGTCATATTGATGGTTTTCTTCAGAAGGACAAACTTGTGGGCCCAATGGGTGGTGTGGCGATTGCCTCACAGCAAGAAGGTCCTGAGTTTGATTCCACCACCTGGACGGGGCCTTTCTGTGTGGAGTTCAGTGATGGGAATAACGGCGTTACAAGTAACGGTGTTACAAGTAACGGCGTTACTAACGGTGTAACTGAGATGAGATTGCATAAGGGACACGTGCAGGCATTGTGCATATGTGATGCCACGTGAAAAACCTCAGTTGGCATCAATGTAGCTTGCCATCACCAGTGTGTGAATGTGTGTGTGAATGGGTGGATGACTGGATATGTAAAGCGCTTTGGGATCCTTAGGGACTAGTAAAGCGCTATATAAATACAGGCCATTTACCATTTATGACTTTTTCATATTTGCATGACAGTGATATAGGATGGATTACACAGGTATCAGTTGGGATCACCATTGTCTGTTCCTAGAAGTCAGTTTTACTTCACACAACAGAGGTAGAATGTACACTATCATCTTTATATATTCCTAAAACGTAGCCTGGTAGCTGATTAAAAGAATTTGTTGATACATGTACATATTTATTTAACTGTAAACTCTAACATTTATACCTTTCATGTGAACATAATATGATTAATTCCAGCATTTCACAAATTTCATAAATGTACTAATTTAATAGTTTTTCTTTTTTCCTTCTTTTTATTAGTAAGGATGTTATTGTGATATCTATAGAAAATTTAAAAAGAAATTTAATTAAATGTATTTTTGACATTTTCCCTGTTTCATCTGGGTTTTTTTTTAGCAAATTGTCATGGTTCCGAGTCTGATGACTCAGTGTTTTGTGAGGTTTTGGTTCTGTACTCCCTCTGTTCCAGTTCAGTCGGGTCTCTGTGTAAAGCCTGTGTCTCTGAGTCTGTGTCTCTGCATGTGTGTTGCATTTCCTGTTTTACTTTGAAGGTCTTTGTCTTATTTCAGTGTATTCAGTTTTGCGTGCTCCCCATCTCGTCTGTGTGATCAGTGTCAGCCATGTCTCCCAGCTGTTTCTTCTTGGTCCATTTCACCTCTTGTATTTAGCGTCTGAATCTTCCCCTGCTCATCATTCCGTCGTCCCTCATTCTACACTCTGTGTTACGTCTGCCAGCTTACCTGCCTGTTTAGTTTATTTGTATTCTCAGTTTAGCTAGTTTTCTGTTTTTTCTGCAATCCAGGAATAAAGCCGAGTGTTTTTGAGTTACGTTTGCCTCTGTGAATCCTGCTCTTGGGTCCACCATTCCCGCCTGCCTTCACACAGCCGTGACGCAAATGAACTCAACTCAGTCCTGAGTGAGGCGCCAGACACACCCAAGTAAGCAACCTCAATCAGAGCAGGGATACTGTGGCCCCACCTTGGACCAAGGCCTGGGGAGGGGCTTATTTCAAATGCCTAGTGGTCAGTCCTTAGCCCGTGGGACCACACCAGAGTACATTAGAGTTATATTAAGAGTAACAGACAATATGAATTTTAGCTGATGATGCTTAGATTCATTCACTAAATTCTACCGGTATACTAACTTTAAATTGTTAAGTATAAAGACAGTATCATCAGTACACGGTCAATGTATTATATTGTTGAATTCAGTTGTGCAGTAAACCTCAGATCAGCAGCAGCAGGTTAGCTGGTCACAGCCTGTACACAAAGAAAACTGCTGTTGCAATAGCGAATGTTGGTGTGTTTTCGAAATGAAGTCAAAGTATTTCTTTCTTCATACTCTCTTAAAAGCTTTAGTTAAATTGGAATATTTTAAGATATTACTAGTCATGGGCATCGTGCAATGAGTGTCTTTAAACAAAGAATTCAGGATTACAAACAGTGACTTGATAATTGGATTATGTGAAAGGACCAGTCTAAAAAAAGAGGTATATTTGAATAAAATACAGTTTAATAAACATCAACCACTAAAACACAAACCATAAAATAGATCACACCAGATAGAAATGGCGATAAAGCACTGAGATCATCTGAGGTAGCTTTCACAGCCTTCCACCCAGATGTCTCCTAACTTGACTTACATCAACATATTCCTGTTGGATTTTCATTCTCTTATTAGCTAGAGCTTAATTTAACAAAAGAATTCTTAGTTTTCTTAATTTACAGTTTACAGGCATTTAGTGAAATATTGCAGTAAACTATTTCTGAAAAAACAAACAAAATTAGTGCTGTCAGCGTTAATCTCGATAAAATGACGTTAACGCCATAACCGCATTAACGCGGCAAATCTCCGTTAGCGAGTTAACACGGAACGCCCCGTGCGTGGGGCTGCACGGTGCTAACGCAAACGTGTTAACAAGCTAACCGCACTAATGCGTTAACCAAAAATTTTAAAACAACTATCATTTCTTCACAGGTGAGCACTGCTTGGATGTAGACAACAGCAGAAGAAAACAAGACAAAGCTGGATGTTCAAGACATGAAAGAATCCTCACCTACCCAAACAGTAAGCTACATAAACTGTATCTCTTTCTGCTTGTACCACTTAGAATTGACTACATCAGTGGGACAGCTCACATTGAAACAAAGTAAGAAAGGCAAGGCTGAGATGGTTTGAACAAAGAAGAAGGAATAGTGAATATATTGACAGAGGCTCTTTACATCTTTACAAGATGTGGAAAAAAATTGGATTTAGTTATGATAACCAAAGATAATTTGCACATCACCTGTTTCTTCTTATTAGGGCTTAAAGTTTGCATTGTGAGGTGGGCTCTTTGAGTGAAAGACGGTTCACCACGGGGGGTGACTCATACTTGCAAAGAGACTTCAAGTTGTATAATTACCCTTAGAGTCTGGTTGTTCTGGGTGTACTCAGCCTCTTTGCCTACTTGGAGATGAGATACGCTTCAGCCCATCCGTGACCATGAATTGGATGAGCCGTCAAGAAAATGGAAACGGTTA